CAAAGTACAGGTTATTTTTTATGATACTATGAACTACTACACACGTATGAACTGCAGTATGATAACACGAAGAAGACCAAAGAAAATGAGTTGTTTTCAATAGGAAAAAATGCCTTGTCTTATAATAAAGAAAGAAAAGCAGAAGATAAACACATTCTGCAACATTACAGTCATGTAAACAGTTGTCTTATTATTGCATTTTTCATGTGACATGTTCAGTCTAACGGAGTATAGATGGTTGCGAAACCAAGTTTTAATGTCTCTCAAAACATCTTGTGACAAAGTCATTTGGGTAAACAAAGAGTAAACAAATACTCATAGTGACAGATATGGTTTATAGTGCATACACTCACACAAAGACACAAAACTGCATTTAGATGGAGCGGCCAACAATTCCAGCCAGGGGTTTGCTGTGAGAATGGTCTGCACAAGGGTGGTTGTTGCTGGTGTAATTTTATGGGGGAATGAGCCAAACAAAATCCAATTTACCCTGGTAAAATTCCGCTGAGCAAAAGATAGGAGGAAAATACTGAAAAGGGGAAGGAGGTTTACCTCATTTGTCACTGTACTGTCCAATCACAACACTTCAGAAGATGGGCGAATATCCACAGTTCCAGTCCATGCTTCTGAAGAAATGCACAAACAAAACAGAACTACACTAAAGAGACCCTTTTGGCCTAAGGTTGATTGAATAACATTTTTTGTTATCATTCAGTGGGGAGATAGTATGAAATGTTGCTGAGTAGATTCATGCCACAATACATTGTATATTCAAGGCAATATTGACCTTGTGTTGGCAGAAAGGAGAGCAGGATAAGCAAATATTTAGAGGTATAGAAGGAAAGAGTAAACAAACCAAAATAATACTCTTTTTTAAAAATAATTTAACTGAAATGAAGTGCTTACAATTCAGCTTCAAGCTACTTTTCAATGACTATAATAGAATATGTCTGTTTGTTAAAATATGGAAAACAGCTACACTGTGAAAAATAATTTCTTAATACATATATTACATTTTTTAAAAAACAGGACACATTTACTTAAAAGAAAAATTATGCAAGATATTAAGAGTAGTTTTTCAGGAACTGTCTGATGTAAGTTTATTTTTCTTACTTCACTGGCAAATTTTTTTTTTCTTTTTAAGCACAAACCTAACCAGACCTCTGCTTCAAGCAAGAAAAACGTCTCGGGTTACGCATGTAACCATGGTTCCCCGAGAGGGAACGAGACGCTGCGCCCCCTAGGGGGCACATTGGGCAATGCAGCCTGCATTGTGTTTGAAGCACGTGTGAAACAACGCCAATCTATTGGCCCACCTGGCCCATGACGTCATAGGCGGGATGCCTGGAAGTATAAAAGGGCACCTGCTGAATACGTCATCCACTTTAGCTGTCTAAAGGAGATGTCCTGTCCACCTGGTGGGAGAGCACCAAGGAAGCGACAGGCATAAAGCCTTTCCTTAGAAAGGGGCCATGCCACTGACCGCTCATGCAACTTGGCAGAAACGGGGGAACCCGAATAGAACAAGGGGAACATCCCATCCAAGTTAAGAGCACAGCTATTCTCAGATAGCTATGCTATGTGAGCAGAACTAGCCTGGATACACTGTCTAGGTAAGGGCTCAAGAGGCCACTACTTAAAACCCTAAGCAGGGGAGCGATCACTGAGCTTGCACATAACTATCCTCAGATAGCGAGGCTCTAGGAAAAAGGGGCCCACTCCATGAGAGGGCTCACCACAATTGCAGTAGAACACAGCTAGACACAGATAGCTGTATTCAAATAAGCCCGTCCTGCCAAAAACAATGGCTGGAATATAACCACCCTCAGAAAGCTATATTAAGGAGGTCCCCAATCCGTGTCAGTCCCACAGTAGGCTAGCAAAGCACCGTGCTACTGACCAAGATCTCACAAGAAGGAGATCCAGACCATCAGTTAATGATTCGCTAAAGAGCGAACACAAACATCATAGTCCGAGATCAAGCCTGATGTAAACAGTAGACATAGCACAAGAGAGCTGGACACAGCTATCCTCGAATAGCAGATCTCTCAGATAAGGCTGAAGATTGCCCAGGCCACGGAAGTGGGCCATCTATTTAAAATCCCGAAGGGGAGACAGCACAGTCCAGGCAAGGGGCTCACAGAGACCACAATCTAAAAACCCTAAAAGGGAAG